TACAATCATGCGGTACGATTCCGTTCATTTATTTTACATTGTTGGATATTCATAATTGATGTGGTCGTTAGTAGCGGCTCATGAAGGACCGGTTGTGATTTGGGTTCTAGTCGCACTCAGCCGGGTGGTCCAATCTGGTAGGCGCAGTTCATGATACATTTAGGGTACATGGTCGGTAGGCGAAGGTTCTGGTAGGCGCAGCCCATGGTACCTTTGGAGTACATGGGTGGTCGGTGGAGACTAGCTCAACGTGAACTAGGTAGGCAGGTAGCACCTGGGCACCTAGGTAGCTGGCGGGAGTATCATACTCAAGTCATAAAGAGATTCGTAACCTCAAGGACTCTTGGAATTTTGACCTAATCTGAGGAGAAGACTTATGGTATGATAAGAACTCTATAGCCTCTACATGTCTTCATCTATAAAAGGGGCGCAGGTTATTTCATTTACACAACACACACATAGAAATTCTCTCGTTATTCTGCCGTTTTTCCTTTGGACCACCACTGACTTGAGCGTCGGAGTATTCGCGTCGGGACCACCCCCGGCTTGTTTTGCAGGTACCGGCGATCAAGGAGACGTAACCCGGTTCGAAGAGGAGCGGTCCAACGGTTCAAGTGTTTGTGGCATAACAATAATTATTATTATCATTTAGATACAAGGAAATTGTATATTAACTGCACACATTATTGTAATCTGATTGATTGAAATAATAAAGAAATCATATTACAAGACTTTAGTATTTTCCTAAAAATGGTCTCTTTGGTTGTACCATCCCAATTATAGAAAAACCTACTTATTTATTATAATTCTCTTATCTAAGTTTCAATCTTTTGTTTATATGTTTTACTTTAGAAATGCTCACATATCCACGATGGACACATGTTAATATGCCTACTGCATAGGAGGCATGCACTCATTGGTGATGTTAATATATTTAATAAAATATATCACTAATGAGTGCATGCCACCTACGCGGTGGGCATATTAACATGTGTCGGTAGGTGAGCATTTCTCTGTTTTACTATAACTCAAAGTCAAATTCTTGTGTAAGATGAACAACTTCATTCGACTTGTCATACTTCATTAACGAAAATAAATATTTATGCTATGAAATATAATATTTTTATTTATGTTTTTTTTTAACAAATATGACATTTCAATTGGATTTTTTCATATTTAACAAAAAACTATAAGTGATCATCGTTAGACGAGCCTACTTGTTATATAATCGTTATACATACCTAACAACTATTCTTACTTATAAATTATGAATACTAACCATATAAATTACGAGATATGAATACTTACAAAAAAAAGGTATGACTGATAGTCGCTATAGATTCATCCAATTAATCTTGAGTTGGCCGTTCAGTTAAATCATAAATACTTATAAAAAAAAGTGTGGCTAATAATAATTATAGCTAGATCATCCAATTAGTCTTGAGTTGGCCCGTTGAGTTAAAGTATAACTGGTATCGGGTTCGAAATTTAAACAATTAGTCTTGAGTTGGCCCATTGAGTGAAAGTATAACTCGGGTATCTCGTTCGAATATTTAAACCGTTTGCTAAGGTTATCTCCAACCGAATACTTCATACTCAAACTCATTAAGCAGTACATATCCCATTTTGCAGTAATTCATCTACAACTGAAAAATTCATTCTTCAACCCAAAAGAATATTCTCGGAATATTATCTTCTACATCAACTTTTACAACTTTTCAATATTACCCACATATTTTACAATTTTACAAGTGAAACCATACTATTATTTTCCAATTCAATTTGGACTTTATGTAATAAACTAATTATAAAGTTATAATCATATACATAATAAAATCGGAGAAATATATAGTCACTAAAAATTCAAATTTTAAAATTACAACACACAATATAATATTAAAATTACAACACACAAGATGATAAATTAAAAATTACAACATATAATATAAAATTAAAAATTACAACGGACAAGATGAGAAATTAAAAATTGTATTGTATCACGTTTTAATCTTATTTCATTTTTTTTGGGTTTGAATAAAGTCAAAAACCAATCTGTATTATAAAGTAATAATTCATATACATATTAAAATTGAATAAATAAATATTAATTAACAACTAAAAATTACAATGCACAATATAAAAAATAAAAATATGTTGAAAATTAACATAAAATAATTATTCGTACAAGCAAAAATTACATAGTCTTTCGAGTTTTAAAATTTGTGGGTTATTTTTATGGTTTATGATGTATTTTTATTTATATGTAGTTCTATGTTATCTTTCAATATTATTACTAATTTGGTAATGCTAGTTCTTTTATTTCTGAAATTTATAGTCTTTTTAAAATATATTAATAAAATATAACATAAAATTAACTAAAGTAATACTCTATTTCATATTATATTTCTTTTATCAAAAGACAATTACCAAATATAATATACAGTATATATATATAAGAATAGGGATGTTAAAATATAAATATAGAATAGAAGGACTTATATGTAATAACTAAAAGATCAAACGCAAATTTTGTGTCGCAAGTAGCAACGCAAATATGCGTTTCTAGAGGAGAGAGAAAGCTCCTGCACGCATTTTGCAGATCCATTTCTAGTTCGGGTGGAGAGAATTCTACTGCAAAATTTGAGTTTTGCGTCTCGAGTCGAACACGATAGTTATGCCAAATTTTGAGTATTAGGCGTCAGGTAAAGTTGAAACAATGATAAATTAATTTCACAAAACATTTAATACAAGGGATATACTGTGATTAGGTACGTTTCATATCTTTTAAAATATTGACAATTAATTACATAATTAATTATTAATTATAAATTGAGTTGTAAAACTACTATTTATTGTTTGGAGGTGATATGCAAATTATCTCTGAATCAGAATTAAATCGGCTATTTCACGAACTGTATGTGAACCCAAGTTTCGATGACATGTAAAATAGACGGACATTATCAAATTACTAATTAGAGATCTCACTAATAATTGTGGATTTTGCAGAAAGTTTTTTGTGCCCAAAACACACGCCAATAATAATAATAATAATAATAATAATAATAATAATAATAATAATAATAATAATATAGATTGATCTATTATATAAACATAGATATAAATAATTTTATAAACGAATAATTAACATATATACTCAATAAATATTTGTATGTAAACAGTTCATTCGAACTAATACTTTTAAATTTTACTAATACTTAAATTTATGAATATAATCAACATAACGTCTAAATTGTATCCAATGACGTTATTTTATATGTATCGTATAATCATTCGTTTGTGAATTTTGTGCAAATATGCACATGCCGAATTTCTAGTTACATATTATAATAATCTAACTAACAGACGCACCTCATAAATTGAGAACAAGCAACTTATTCATATCCACATTCTATGATAAATATATAAAATAAATACCAATAAATAGAAAAATCAATCAATTAATTTTCATGATTGATATTTTAAAAACTCACCTTAATAAGTTTAACTATATTCAAATTTAAATGGGGTCAATCTCCCTATATATATATATATATATAATTCTGTAGGCAATTAAATTTTGAGCCAATAAAATGGCGAAAAGTGTCAAATTCCATGTCAAAAATCATTTTAATAATTTTCTATTTTATTTGGGAAATTAATTAAATTTTAATTCCTAAATTAAATAGTTAATTAATTAATTATTTAATATATATTGTTGGCCAATTAAAGAATGCCACATATATATTTTTGAAGA